GACACAGAGAGGCTGAACTGTAGAGTGCATTGCTCCCAGGCAGCAGCTGAGCCAGAGCTCTGGAGGGTGGGTCTGTGGCTACTGCCAGTGCTGTAGGGGAAGGGTCTCTTACACAGGCTTTAGGGGTTTTTAGTGGCGCTTTACACCTGGATGCAAATTCCGGTCCTGGTCATTGTGGTGTTGATAGTGGCGCTTACACCTAGGTGCCAGGTCTGGTGGCATACAAGGCCCATATCCAGTGATATTGCCCATATGGTCACACTCCACACCAGGGAGGCCCCATTTTAAGTTATTCGAAGTCTTTTTGGGGTTGTGTGTGAGCTGAATGAGTGTCCTGGGGCTGCCATGCCTAGGAGTCCTGAGGAGGGGGACCTGGGTCACCATCAGGGGTTCCAGGGCTGGGCTCCCCATCCCTGCTTACTGCCTTGTTGTGGGGGCTTTCCAGAGAGAGCAGACAGCACCCAGTGGGGGTGGGGGGAGAGTTATTCCTCACGCTGCAGGTCAGCAGACTATTTCCGGAAGGACTGAGTCCAGGTAACAGGTCTGTTGGTGCTATCAATCTTGGCCAGAAAGTCACGCGGAAATGCGCAGGTTTGCTACCCCAGGTAAGTGCTTCCTTGGGGAGTTCCACTGACAGGCCTGGGGTGGGGTGTAGGGAGCCTGTGGTTGCCTGGCCCCCAAGGCCTGGTCATTTTCTTCTTCATAGAGATTTTGGCCTGGAATAGAATCGCTGAGGTTCCATCCCTGATGGCTAAACAAATGAAGGTGGTCAAAGTAATTAATGTTGAAGTGAATCAAGACACCCAGGGACTCCTCCCTTCCCCTGGAAGGCCCAGAAACAGTGAAGCCCCCTCCCTCCACCTTTCTGGTTCCCTTAATCCCTGTGCTCTCCTTGGAGATGGATGGGGAGGAAACGTTTTCCGTCTACCTTCCTGCCTTTAGCTGAGACCACTGTTACTAGACAGGTGAGTAAGGAAAAGAGCAGGAGGGTCAAATCCAGACAGGCCAGGGCTTCTCATCCTCACCTGCACCTGGGCCTTGACCTGGGAGCTGGAAGGGGGCAGGGGGAGGGGGAGGAGACCACCATGGCCTGGGCTCTGACAGCCCAGAGAGTTTGGGCCTGAAGTGGCCTCCCAGACCCCAGGAGGCAGAGACCTGGAGACAGCCCTGCACCTGTGGTCTCTGGTGATGTCCATGACTGGGTGCAGTTAAGGAGGGGTGGCTAGGGGAGAAGTTGTCTTGGAGGGATGGAGCAGGAGAGGCCTCCTTGGCTGTCTTCACAGGTGCTGAGCCTCCACCTCAGAGGCCATAGGCAGAAGAGATCCCTGCAGGGACCTGTGTTGGGCCACCTCTCAGCTGCCCAGAACCTGTTCCTGGGCCTTCTGGACCCTCAATCTCAGGCTTCTGTAGCTTCGTTGTCAGCATAGATGTGGACCCTCTGTATTTCCTTTGCCTTTTTTCATTTCTTTAAGGAAGTCAGCTGAGCAGGAGGGGCGAAAGGCTTAAGACAAGCAGGGTGAGCTAACTGGAGGGGTTCCCGGTTGGCGGTGCCCGGTTGGCCAGCTGGTAGGCAGGTGAATGTCAGCGTTGGTCACATCTGGCTGTGGCTTAGGGCGGGGCCTCCCCTAGCAGGACCCACTCTTTGATTAAGCAAGAACCCTGAGTCTCTGGCTCAGTCCCCTCCAGCCTCCTCCACCTAACAGCTACCTCCTGCGCCCCCTGGAGATCTAGAGTGGAATGGCGCCTGTTCTTCTGACTGTCCTTGCCCCCTCCCTAGTCTAGGCCGCTGGTGAATGGGCTTCCTTGTTCGTGGGGGGCCCTGGCCTTTCAGGGGTCTGGGTGGGGTCCCCTGCGTTTCTTGGGTGTGATTGGCTTTTGGGGGGTGGTTTGAGCAGGAGGCTGGGCTGGACTTGGCTGGTTGTACACCTCTGATATTGCTGTATTTAGTTTTTTGTTGTTGATATTTTCATTTATTTCAGCAGTAAAGTTCTGGCCTTCTCTTGGGCAACACCCTCCCCCCAGCAGTCTCTCAGTTATTTTTTGGTCTTGTAAATCCATCCCTAATTACTCTTGTCCGGCCCCCTTT